GAAAAACATTTGTGATATATTTTAGCATCTTTCAACCAAAACTTTCCAAGCGTTAAAGTTCTCGTTTGAAACGTAAGTATTGAGAGATACCTAAAGTTCAAAGATTACAAACCCCTTTTTTGAATTTCGTAATCTCTCTTTTTTTTATTTTTGTTTGTTCGCTTAGCTTTCACACACAAAAAAAGGGAGGACACTTAGAACTGCTTATGTGTAAGAATACGAAAGCATTCGTATACATAGCGTACTACTACAAGGTGTGCGACTCGGGTGCGGCCGGTGTGCGCTGATGCGGCGGCGCGCGGGAGCAGCGCCAGCAGAGGGCTTCTCTGTGGGGTGGCGTTCCTTGGAACTATCCGGCGCGCGGGTGGCGTGGTAGCTATTTTAAGAGCTGTTCCGCGGAGGGAATTTCTCTGCCGTTTTTCGCTGTTACAGACAACACCGTCTCCGCTTTATGGGACAGTTAATGCTTTCGCATTAAGAAAGCCTCAAGGCAGTCGACATGTAGCCAGAAGGAGAGAACGCGCAGGTCGAACGTGTTGCCGGCCCACACTTTCACAAGTGAGGTAAAAGTCCCACAGTCAGATCATGCTTGATATAGGTCCCGTGAATAAAATACTATCAGCGTGAAAGGCTTGATATGTCGCTTATAACAGATAGAAGTGTTACGCAATAATGGTTCACAGCTTTATCAAACGTTTTATGTTGGCTTACAGATATCCACACAAGATTTACAGGTAGTGCAGTTTTATTAAACGCTTCGAAAAGAATACTTCAGAACACGTTTTCAATGTTAACTAATGAAGTATTGGGCATCCGCGAAAAACCCGAACCCTGTTTGTCGCACCGCAAAAATCAACTAGACGTTGCAGAGAACTCAAACTCCGTCAAAACGCAGCCCCAGCAGTTCGAGAAAGACTCCAAAGTTGCAGCACCAACCGTTATTATTCAGAAGTTATAAGTAATTTTCTAAAATTTTCAATGCAAAAATGGCGACCGTTTTCGCCCGTTTTCGGTTTCTGGCGTCATGTATTCGAGAGCCCCCTCCGCCGGCCGCCATTTTTCCAATAAACTTTTCAGAAAATCTTTTATAATTTTTTAATAGTATCACGGTTAGTGCTGAAACTTTGGCGTCATGCCCGGACTGGTGGGCCTGCGTTCTGACGGAGTTTGAGCTCTCCACATGGTCTGGTTTATTTTTGCCGCGCGAAAAACGTGGTTCAGTTTTCTCGCGGAAATTCGGCATCAAAAGACACTTTCAGAATGTTCATCTTTATTACCAGAATAGGTCAACGCGGGCGCTGCGCATGGGTGCAAAACACTTAAATACAATATAAGCCCAATGAAGTATAATAGTATCTTTTAGATATTCAGATTGTGTCAGCTTACCAAGATGTGCTTTAAGGGTATATTTTTTATTACATACAAGTCCTCAATTATCTATAATTCGGGCATTGGTTTTGGCCAGTTCAGAACTATTCCTCGTGCCCGCATTGCATTTTCTCTATCACAATTGATAAGTCAATAAAGCTACTGGCGCGATTTATTTGCCTTTTTGCGCAAGATCAATCGCACTTGCCCCGAAAGACGATGTTGAGTGTCCGAAACCTTCATATCATAAAATAACAAAAGTGTTAATTGCTGTCATTGTTTTATTTCCATAGTTACGTTGCTGTGGATTCACGAAAATGTTTGGCTCACAAAATATGCATTGACCACTCGAGCACGCTAAAAAAATACGCCCTGGAAATGCGCGTATTTGGCTACGGCAAAAGGAACGTGTTGGCAAGGGAATCGAACTTTAGAGCGTGCTTTGTCCACCCTGTTTTCCGCAGAGCTTGGTGTTTTTCCGCCCAAGGCCAGGGAACAGGATTATTTCCTCGCCTTCTCTGATCAAGACTTGGGCACAAATTGTCCAAGAGTGATGGGTCGACGATCGTCTGGGACCTGTGTTTACTTGGTGCTTCACTCATACAACATGAATCCTCCCATCCAAACCCTTACGCAGCGTTCGGTTATGACAGCCGAGAACGGCGTCAGAATCACGAACCAATGATCCATATTTTTTCCCCATCTGTTAAGTTAGCAAATCAACCACTAAGGCGCGACTCTTGGATGTCGTCCCAAAAAGCTGCTTAATCACAGTTCAGCAAATATTATCGCCCATAAGAAGCCACACCATAGCCAGGTAAACATTTTAATTGCTATGGGAGTGTTATATAAGAACATACTTTAGGATCATCTTAATGGTGTCGTGGGTTGCCCAGTCTTCTTGTTTTTTCACAACCTCTTTGGTTTTGAGTTTGGAACAAACAAGTTTCTCCAGAGTTTATGAGACAGTAAGTCTCTGGCTAAAACGAGTACATTCTACACCGTATGGCTCTTCGGCAACAAGGTATTTTTTTGCGCGATGCACGGAGATCAATCCTGTCTGTTACTGCAGCAAAATCCAGGTCGCATTCAAAAGGCTGGCTGTTGTTTTTTTAGAAACTGTCTTCATTATCTTCCAAAAACGTGATTGGTTATAAACCTTCTCTATATTTTAATTGAAATGGCACGAGGATGGGGAATAGCAACAAACACTCACTTTAGGAAAGTTAAAAAAATGACTTTTTTTTAATTTTTTGCTTATTTTTTTTTGCTCATAAATGAATTATTGTTAGTTTTTTCTAGCTGTCATGACTACAGCCATCTAGTATAAATGACTCCTACTACTTCAGTTTTTAGGGTTATATAAAGTTGTATATCATAACTGCATGTTCTCTTGAGCGATAAAATGTTTACTGTTTTTTCCTTTCTTATTTTAACAGAAAGCCGAGCTCTGCGACACCTTCCAAAAGAAGGCAGTAATATATGTAAATAAAATAAATAAACGAATATATATTATGTTAAAATTAAAATATCCGACAGAGCACGCACTTAAATTATCTTAGAGGCTGGAATATTTTAACGCGACTATAAAATGACAATTTTTTTTTAAAAGGTGTGGTCTATTAAAGTCTAAATATATATAAAAAAGTTCCCAATAACCATAAATTGTGACCATCAAATTATTACCAAAAAAAGGTTCTATAAATTGACATCAACTTTTTGATCCATCTAAACTCCGAAACAAACTTTTCTGGCATCAAACGTTTCGTAGAGCTACATAGTCATTTAGTCATTAGGTTTAGTACGTCTAAACTACACCAGCTCATTTGTACATTTATGTTTTTCTTATAAAATACGTCATTTAATTTAACTGCTCTTCAGACTCAGCGATATTTTGCAACCCGCCAAAAGATACAAGCCTATGTGCATTTCGCACATTGCTGATGTTCTCCACTCCCGGAGAAGAAACAACTCTAAATATAGCATTAGAGCATTTTTTCTTCTCTCGCACATGGATAATTGCTAAGACAAACGCTAAATAATATCGGATGCTTTACAACCCTTGCTTGGTTTAATAACGGCAATAAATCCAGGGAATTATCAAGAGCTTTAACGAAAACGACGCAGCCCAGTAAACCAGGTGTGGCTAGTAATCAACGTGTTTTGATAACACTGCTGCTGGAAGCACAAACTTCTAATGGACAATATGCATAACAGCAGCGCCCCTAGCGGTTCAGGTATACTCTCAGAGCAGGAAACCATGGCTTCCGAGATACCGAAGCGCGCGAACGCTTCTCCGGCCGTCCTATTAGTGCGGAAAGTGCGTAATCGGAAAAAGAGAAGGAGTCGGCGTCTCTCCGCGGGGAGGCGCTCTCAACCCAGGCATCGAAATCGCAGTTTCGATGGATTCGGCATGGCGCGAGGGAAAAGAGTCCAAGAAAAAGTCTTGTTACGTCGAGTTACTGCAGCATTACATATTTTTGTCTTGTGGTAGAATGGTGAAGGTGCTCTGGGGAAGTAGATAGACGAGTTGTGATGCTTATTTAAGTTTAGTTATGTTTAGCAGGGAAAGTTCCCAGCTAAGTTTAGCAGAAACATTTCCCCGCTAAATGTGGCGGGAAAATTACCCGCTAACTTTAGAGGGTTAAGTCTCCTCGCTAAATTTAGCGGGCAAATGGACTTCCCGTGACTTCAACACAAATCCAGTTTCCCCGCTAAAGTTAGTAGGGGAAATGACATCGCGACTTCGTGTCACGTCACCCATAAACAAATTCAGTGGCAGGAGGAAAGGAGGAGGAGGAGGGGAGGAGGAGGAGGGGAGATGTCACGTGACATCGAGTGGAGGAGAAGGGGAGATGTCACGTGACATCGAGTTTTCCGCAAACTTCAGACAGAAAACCGAATTCGTGTTTAGATCATGGGACATCAATTTTCCTGCCAAATTCAACAAAGAAACTGAATTGGTGCATAGGTCACGTGACGCCAGATCACGTGACACCAACTGACGTCACGTGACCAAAAGACTCAGTTTTTCGGTAAATTTAGCGAGAAATGTACAGACTGACGAACAAGCGGACGGACGAACGGACAAAAATGTGGGATTAATGCTTTCGTTAAAAAAAAAAAACATTTTGTGTTTTAAAATTATTTGGTGTATTTTTTTTTAACCGTTTGAAGGATGGCCTACTAGAGCACGCTGGCACTGGTTCAAGCTGTTGATAATCATTTTATCTAGGACAGTACGTACGAGTGCTATCCTGAGGTACTTAGAGTGTATAATTACTGAGTATTTAATGCCACAGTGATACACGACCGCACGACATGAAACTTGGGATTCCTCTGCGACGCAACCAGTGTCGCAATGTAGCTTTCTTTTTTTTTTTTTTTTTGCGGGTTTGCCACGTAGGGGGCAGAGATAAAGGCGTGGTGCCTGACAAAGCCTCTGCCCCCTAAAATTAAGTAAACACTGCGCACAACGTGTAATTATGCCCCATCAGAGAAACCAAAATAGTAATAACAGAAGATTAAAAAATTGCTTGAGAGCCGTGCATAAAATGCAGCACGAAAGCTCGAGCGATCATATCCTCCAGTTCGCGGCACTCTGGTCACGCTGACCCCAAACCGCTTCCACCATGTCGCTTGGTATGTTCGAAATCCTCGCTCTTGTTGGCTTCACTTGCGCCAGTGCAACATTCAATTTCCCAGAGCTCAATCCAGATTTGGGAAAGTATCAAGATTCATCTACGGTATGTGCCGGCTCTCTGCGTTCGACGTCCAACTAGCTTAAATTAAATAAAATACGAAAGGCACTAGTCCTTAAGAGAATGACCTGTTATATACCAACTTCGGATTCGTTCTTGGTAATGTTGCATTTCGAGTTTCACATGATCCGTCAAGAAATTCCGATAGGCTCGAGGCTTTTTATTTATTGGCTTCTAATTAATTCTCGCGCGGAAAACGTTTCTTTAAAACTCCCATTAGGAGAATATATCTTTGGGACTGATTAGGTGAGCGTTTTGGTCTGACCTGGACCTTCCAAAAGTCTGTTTGTGTCGACGTTTCTGCCCCAGTGAGGCGTTTCTCAGAATTGGTCAATGCGGCACTTCAGTTCGAGTTGGACCTTATTTTTGAATCCGCAAGAATGTAGAAAAACGAAATGTCCACGATAAGAACTCTCATAAAATCCTATTCTGTACAACTTCTTTGGCTCCTCGTGCACGTGGTCCAGAAGTCCTCACACTGCTTATTTTCGTGTATCTACGTGCTGAGACACTGTTAACGCAAACATATGCTCGCTACACCTTCTTATTCTTTCTTAAAAAGATTTGGTTGAATCTAGTGATACAAGAAATGTTCAAGTATTAATCTGAGCGGTACGAGTTGGTGCCCGCCAATAACCTCCAACTCAAATTCGAAAAGGCGGTCGATTTCGTGTTTTCTTTAACAGTGTCGCGCAGTACACTTCCCTGCTTTCTTGTTTCTGCGCTTGGCGTACGACGTCATCTGTACGAGTCGAGCTACCCTGGGCAATATGTATGGGCGGTATCATTTGGATTCGGGCAACGAGGTGCAGTCGTATTTTTTTTTTTTTCTTCAAAATTTTATATTTCATGGCGCAAGTTCCAACAAAAAAAATGTTTTTTTTTTTTTCTTTTTTTTTTCTTTTAATGTCCTGACATGTTTAGTTTCTGAGAAAAAAGAAAACTCAAAGAAGCGGGAAAGAACGACGAGGTTTTGACGAATGTCGTGTGTGGCGTTTTTGAATCACTCTCAATCTTAAAGTATTCAAAAGGAAGCGTCTATATTTTTTTGTGTGATATATATGGAAGTAAGTAAGGCGAAATTATAACTACTATTTATTATTCGTCACTCAAATCTTTGTAAAAATCCCCAAACATGCTTCCGCGAACAACTGTAACCTAGATTGCGGATCGTTTTTTTTTTTTTGAGTTTACTACGTTTAGTATTGCTTTTAAAATAATACCACGTGTAGAACCTTACATTTCCTTCCTAACCAAACAAAGCTTGTGCCTTTATCAAGTACGAGTATTGAGAAATAAATTATGACAGAAAGAAGGTTTTCACTTTTTGTTCAATTGCAGCACGCTGTATAAAAAAAAATTATTTTATTTTATTTTATTTTTTTCACGTCGCGTTCTCTTTACACCCTTCTTTTACCCATAATACATTCTGTTAGAGGTATACGAACTAGTTTTGAGTTTTAAGCCTCTTAATATGCTAAAAAATTAGCAAATACCGATGGTGAGTTTTGACGATTGTCGTGTGTGGCGTTTTTGAATCTCTCAATCCCAAAGTATTTAAAACAGAGCTTCTATATTTTATTAGTTTGATATATATGGAATTAGGTAAGATGACATTATAACTACTATTTATTATTCGTCGCTTCCATCTCTAAAAAAAATCCCCAAATATGCCTCCGCGAACAACTGTGACCTAAACTGCGGATATTTTTTTTAGTCGACTATGTTTAGTTTTGTTTTTAAAATATATATTGCCCAGGGTCGAGACCGGTTATAACGAAGTCGGTTATAACGAAATTGGTTATAACAAAATAGCGGCTACAGCGAAGCGATCACGATTCCCATTCTCTTTTGCACTTCGTTATAACCGAAGTCGGTTATAACGAAATAGCGGATATAGCGAAGTGATTTTCGATTCCCGTTGACTTCGTTGTAACCGGTCTCGACAGTAGACCAACTCGGCTCTCTAACGTCACGCCACTGTGGCGGAGCTTCTGTCACAACTGCACATGCGCACAAGCTTCATATCACGTGAGTCTGATTTCTGCGCACGCGCTGTGCGCACACCTACTGTGGGAAAACGCAAGCTGGTTTGTGTACACCGTGTTGGTGTATACCGCCTCATTTTTGGCGTCTCTTCAAAATCTCTAGAAAGTAAATATTAAAAAAACTCAAATAAATTAAGGCGGAGCCGAAATCTGAATCTAGCTGCTATGAATACTATTCAAGGTCCGTTAACTCGAATGTTAAAATGCGCTTCAAATCGACACGTGTTACAAATACGTCCGCCCGAACGCGTAAGAAATCCGTTTCCCGGCGCACGTATATGCCGCGAAATTTTACATTTTCGGTTTTGACGGGCATCCGAACAACATCAGCATATTCCGAATACGGGCGAAGGACGGAGAGGATGCGTAGCGCGGCGGACGGCTGGCATAGGTACTTCGCGGCACTGGGTGTAATGCGGCCGCTACAGGTGCCTCCGCTGACAAAAAAATAGCGCGCGTCACCTGCTCCGCCACTTGGCTACATCGACAACGTCAATCTCTTGCAGTCGCGAAGCTTGGTGCTGATGGACAGGAGCGACATCGTCGCGAGGCGGCAAAAGTACCTTAGAGGGACGAAAAAGTTTCCCCTTCGGTTCGTCGATGCTAAGAGGGTAACGCCAGGGTACAATTAGAACTTTGCCCCACAAAGCCTCGGTGGGCGACAATGATAGGACGGAACAATTAACTCCTACCTAATTTACCACGTGACTGATTGCAAACTACGAGACTTGCCATGAACACCCATTTTATTGACGATTACACATTTCTTTGAGGGCGTCGTTTCAGTGGGAATTCTTCATTTGATAACGCCAGCAGAAGACTAGACGGAGTGCGGTGAGGCAGCACGGTGGTGGCGACAGAGAACAGCCTTTTTATGCCGCCCTACAAATAACATCTCGAAGGAAGCTTACACCATCAGGAGTTTGTGACGCAGCTTGACGAACAAAGAAACGGCGCCGGCAAAACTTTCTTCCGGTCTTTTCGCCTACAGGCTCGGCTGGATCAAACGCGGAAACGTTGAACAATTTTTGGAGGAACAGGGATATCCCCACGTCATCACACCGCAACCATCGCGCATCAAAGCGGATACCGCCATAAATTTGCGACGGCAAAGACGTTACCCGGCACAAAAAAGTCGCTGCAAGAAGCAGGCAGCAGTGTACCCGGCAAACCTCGTGCTCGGCGACATCAGCGAGCGTTACCGGTGTTAGGGACAGCGTTCATTCGTCAAGCTCGCAAAGGGCACATGATCACCGGCGGGAAGCAAGCACGCTCCGTGATTGGCCACTTCCTCAGTACGGGCGCCTACGTCACAATACGGGCACCTGGAATTTTAAATATTCGTCGCAATATGTCTACCCGGAAGTTTAAATATTTGAACGGAGTGGTGACGTCAGAACCGGAAGCGGGCATCTATATGTGTTTGAGCGCACGAATGCAAAACACGTGTCGGTTTGGACCGGACTTAACCATGGTAGAAAAAATTATTCGTGTTAGATTTAGGACAGATATGTTATATAGAATAGAGAAGCCATGAAGGAATTACATAAGAAATTTTGGCTTAACGAAGGTGCTGCAGCTGGAACGCCAAAGAGCTCCCAGACAATATGAAGTTTAGTGGACGTACTACTTGATATTGCCAAGTCGTGAATTGTTATCAAGTAAATAGATATGAACCCAAATATAAACGATGACTGAAAATTGTTCAGGTAAAATATATATATTTTTTCTTTTAATTTGGGATTACGAGTGTTTTCGGATAAAGCAGATGTCCCTGAATTACAAGGTATTTTTTTCTCTATATCGTGTGTAGTTTATTAGATATATATACCAGAGCTCAAAGTTTTATTTCGGGCGTCTACAGCAAAACCGAAACTACCTGCTAAAGGGATGGCTACACTGATCACCAGCCGTACGATCGCGACGTTGCGTCACCGTGGCGCTGCGGTACGCGGTACAACCAATGAACCGCAGCTCCACCATGACGTGACGTCACAGGGGTGCTGCGGCAGTGTTCCTTGACTAGAAGCTTTCCCCCTTGCCACCCACTAAAGAGCTGCTGGATGCATCTTTAGAATCGGTTGTAGTGGAGTACGAGCCCTCACTTCGACGTAAAATTTCGGCTTTGATCATATTTCGTGCCACTAAAGCTATACGCTGTCATTTATTTTGGTTTTGTTTTCGACCGAAGCCACACGCCGGAACCCAGCTCTTGTCACTCCTAACATGTGCCACAAAATTACAGCTTCTGTGCCGCGAAATTTACTCGTAAAAGACTTTACAAAAGAGCAGGTTAATAATTCCAAGAGTAACAAAGATGTTAATTTTGCAGCATTTGATATCACGGTGATATGTTTCATGAGTACTATGATGATAGCATGGTACTGATTTCATAATGTTATGTTTATGTAAACGTGTTAAAAACGAACGTTTGGAATGCTTGTTCAGAGTTCTTACCTATTTTTTCTTTCTTCTACAATGACGCAGGTGTACCCACTCATTGAGCCCTTTTACGAGATTTATAGGAACTACGAGGAAGACCCTATCTATGGCGTTTCCAAATGCGTGAAGGTCAGTCAGGTGGGAGAAGAGGATGGTGTATACAAGGTATTAGCTGAGTTTGGAGAAAACCAAACGGCGTAAGTGATATATTTATGTCGCATCAAGCACCGCAAACTGCAGATAGTCTACTAAAGTTGAGGCTTGAGCGAGTTGGTACAAACTTCGGAAATAAAAACAGCGCGAAAATACGAGGACCAGACAAAGAATTAACACGGACGCAGCGATGCGTCCGTGTAACTTGTTCGTCTGGTCCCCGTCTTTTCGCGCTGTTTTTAATTCCAATCCAGATAATCACCGAGTTTCTGGCAATGTGTCAAAATATCTGATGAAAAGCACTTTAGGTAACAACGAGTAAGATAATTAAATGTTTTGCCCGTTGATTAGCTTGGTCTTAAAATGTTAAGTGTGTTATGAAGCAAGATTTAGTCAGAAAAAACGGACATGGCACCGTGTTTCAATCACTCATGAGACAAACAAAAATTGGCTGCTTTTGGCACGCTCCAAATGCAAGGCATCGATAGGGCCTCTTGGCGCTGCTCTTTCTTCGGGCACAATAAGGGGGCCTGAAACGCAGGTTGAGAGGGTTTTGTATATACGGTTTAACTGAAAGAGGGCGAGAGAAAGAAGGAAAATGGCTACCGGCGCTTTCCTCCTTGCTGGTTGTGTAGAAAGAGTGAAAGTCCCGGATGAGAAGCTTGACCGGTGTTAGGTGTCTGCAGTGCCCGAACTTCGCTCGCGCTTTCCTTTCTGTTTCAAACTCGCGAACATAATTAGAGCCACGGACTTCGTCATTCGTGCACCCTTTGACCGAGCAATGGTGTCCATGACCGGGGGACCGTCGCCATCGAAGCCCATGGCTCTAATTAAGATTTGGAAGTTCAAAACAGAGGAGAAAGCGTAAACGAAGCTCGGGCACAGCAAACACCCAACACCAGCCAAGCCTCTCATCCGGGACTTTCACTCCTTCTACACAACCAGCAAGGGGGAAAGCGCCGGTAGCCCTTTCCCCTTCTCTCTCTCGCTCTCAAAATGGCACTACCCACGATAAAACGGTCTAATAAAGCCGTCCCACTGTAACCTCATGGTGCCACGTCACGTCATTTCGTCACAGGACGTGACTATAGAACACGTTGTCTCCTGAATTTATTGTGCCACGTGACGTCATACCATTAGCTGACGTGATGTCTGGTCACGACAGCTTACTCTATGAAGTTACGTTATCACTTTAATCCTGGTTTCACGTTGCGTCATATTGTCATGTTGCGTCACTGTGCCATGTGGCGCCATGATGTCAGGCTACGGCAGATGCCTATAAATGCTATGCATTTTGAGTGCTTTTGAAATGGTCTCAGTGATACACATGAGACTATGACCTCATCGAGGCTAAGTTACATGGACAGGAAAAGCGTAAGGCTGGCCCGATAAAAGCTATGCATTATAAAAAGGGCGAATGACAGTTTGATGAAACCTAACATTGTACGGGAAAAATAAGTGATTATTGCCACTGACTCGACAAAAGCAATATTTAATAAGTTTTGTTTCTATTTACTGCTTTGTACAATTCTGTGTGGCAAGCAAAAATGTAGTTGTCTAAGTTATTTTTTTATATAATCTTGGAGAGCAGAGAATGTGTGCCACCTGAGGATTGTTGGACGTGCAACCGAAATTTCGATTACATGGCGCCTTTTCCGCGAAAGGTATCCGTTATATTGCGGGCACCTAGGCCGGGATCTGAGCCCGTCACTTGAGAATCTGTAGGGCGGCGCTTAACCTCGGAACAGCAAGGTTTTTGTTTTTGTTATTGTTGTTGTTTTTTGTTGTTTTTTATTATGAAAAGAAACAGAACATTAGTGGTCAATTTAGATTACAAATAACTGCAACATTTTTGCAGTACACGCTAAAATGCATCCATTTCAAGGAGAACTTTGCGTAGGCCTAGCCATTCGGGTTTGTGATCGAGAATAGAAAACACATATTCCACTTACTTCACTCTATCCAAATCAGTGTATTAGGCACACCAGGATTTCTTGAATGTTTTGACGTATCTTTCAAAAGTTTTTGAGGGGTTTGAGATGCCCGTCGAAGTTTTCTAAAGGTTCTGACGCAATTTTTCAAGACTTTCTAAAATGTATAAGAGGCCCGTCATATTTTTACAGACCTTTGGAGTCTGTACCGATCTCTTCCACGAAAGCACGCCACCAATCAAGATCGTTTTAGCGGGTATGTAGAAACGATAACGTGACCCTTCAGGATATATTCGTCGGGAAAGCAGCTTGGCCATTTTGCATCAGGCGGCCGCAACGAGCGGGCGCACAGTGTCGGCTTCCCGTTTTATACCTATCTTCTAGAGTAGCTCAGTCTGCGGATTAAGGGGAAGGTCCTTTAGTGCGCTGTTTCTTGTGCCTCCTTGCCCGTCCGGCTTCAGCAGCTCATGAGCGAACTCTAAAAACGCCGGAGACGCTACAGCGACGGCGCCAGGCAGAACACCCTTACCGTGCTCAGTATTTCCCAATGGAGGCTGAGGCTCGCTTCGCGTTTGTGGTTTTCGCTCAATGTACTACTGACAGTATGTATGTGTGCGTGTGATGCACCTGCCCGGTTCTAATATTTGACTTATCGTGCATCTCGGGAATCTACCCAGCGGCATTCTGAGTACCTAGAAAGATATTTTTTGTTTCAAGAAACTCAGTTGTTCCTATTTGGCCTTATCAATTTTCTCTAAAGCTGCTAGCCCCCGGGTGTGAGTACACATTGGTTCTTATCGTATTTTTTGTTTACAACATGCATGTAATGATCAATGTCTGAAATACACTTTCAACTATTTTACATAAGTTTTGGTTATGTTCACAGTTATTTGAGTGTCTAAAGGGTTGAAGGGCTGAGGGGGTCTGAAAAGCTGAAGGGTCCAAGGGCTGAGGGTTTAAAGGGTTGAAGGGGGTTGAAGGGCTAAATGAGTTTGAAGGTCTGAGAGGTATCAAGGGCTGAGGGGGTCCCTTAACACATCAAGGCTGAAGTGTATTTTTCAATAGGGCACCGGACAGACAAAAAGCAACGAACTTCATCGGCGTAGGTTCGGCATTTCTGACGGCCATACGCTAAAACTAAGCGTTGTAAGGTACACGGACCTCATTGCTTACACTCAAGTGACGTATGACTGTACAGCTAGTACGGGCCCTTTCTTAAGTGTGCGCTTTAGAACATTAGAACACTACTTATAAAAGACTGCATCCCAGGAGAAAATTCAAACGTGCTCAAAAGTCTCCGGCTGCTTACATAACAGACAGTACTCCTTCGACCATAGGACGTCTACGGCCGTTCCCTTAAAAAGCGACTCCACTCCATTTTTACAATTTTCGGGTTATGATCTGTTTAGTCGAAGTTGGTGACCCTGAATCACGAAATATAATTTGTTTGTTGGTAGTGTGTATAGTTTTGTAGATATCGCGAATCCAAGTATCGTTCCGGCGGCACGGCGAAACCAAAACTGCCGGTTCAAGTAGCTTGGCAACACTGATATTAGTGGCGCGTCGTCGGCATGACCTAGTTCTTGTCCCGCGCTCCTGAGCCGACGCACCGACAATGTCGGCCCAGTCGCACGTGGAGTGTCAAAACAAGGTAATTTGCACATTTCTTTTTTACCGCTTCACTTTGTTAATTTGTATCAAATGTAGTAAGTTTTAGTGTGTATTTATAAATTTGCGAGCCAAAAAACGAATCCGACTGCTATAAATATGACGCAGTCAGTGCCGGCGCAGCGTAACTGTATTTGTTTCTTGCTCGCGGACCGAGAGAAAAAGAAATAATGGGAGATAGATGGACAGATGTATCCTCAGGCGTTCTAAGTTGTTAAAGCTAAGGTGCCTTTACGTGCACGCTAGTTCGATCAACCGCGACTTGCTGCGTCCGTCCGATCGTGCTGGAGCAGCCGGCGGACGGTACGCGAACGACGGCACCGCATCGTTCTTCAAAGACGCGTGTTTCGTGGAGAAACCCGCAACAGTCAGCAGCCGCAGATCCCGTGTGTAGGTGTCTGACGTAAAGTGCTGGGAGCAGAGCTTCGCGCTGGAGCTCGGAGTCGACGGTCTTCCGAAGTCTATCCGGAGAACGGCACCGACCCCCACCTTGTGCCTCTTCCGGTCTCTTGGGAACATGTGGAACCGATGCTCCGGGTTGCGCACCGGATTGCTGGTGCAACCCACAGCACTACAAGTCGTGCTCGACATTTCCCACCGCGAGTCCGGCGAGTCTCTCCGGCTCCACGACACGCGCGTGAGCGAGCAGTACAGCTTCGCTCTCTTCCGCGCTGTCGCGGAAGCAATGCTGGACTTAAATAAACTGCCTGGACACTAATAAATATAGGAGAACACAGGTTAACGTGGTAAGCACCTCTTGCCGTAAGCAGAATCGCAGAGTGCCACGGGAAATGAAGCGTTCGCGGCGTCCGTAAGAGAGCGTAAAACTAAACCTACACCATTGACCAATGTTGCTGCACTAGCTCACCCGGTGCCAGCGTTGCTCAGCCGCTTTCGAGCCACTAACCGAGCCGGGAGAACATTTTTAATATTGGTTTTAATCAGTAATGCGGCGTCGGTTTGACGTGATATTTTGGGTATGGCCGTATTTTGACCTCCTAAAGCGATATCAGTCACTTCGATAAAGTCGACTTTTTGAGTGGAGTTGCCCTTTAAGAAAAACTTGACGGGTGACGTTTACTATGCAATTTTAAAAATAAAATTTTACCAGGCTGGTGAGTACACATTCGTTTCACTGGCGTTAGGCACTCTGGCTTCCGCTGCAAACGATATTTTGGTACAGCGGTGCCGGGAATAGCCTTAACACCAAATGACGTCTTAATGTGTTCATGCTTACACCAGCAAGTTAATATTGTCACGAATGACAATTTAGGAGGCCACGAAAACTGAAGCAACCTAAACGTTGAATGGGGCGAACTTGTGCCAAAAACTAAATAGAAAAAGGCTAGCGTCGCAGGTGTCGGTGGTGGCGTAACAGCGGGACCAAGCGCTGGAGCGAGACTGGCCCCGGCTCGCCACGCGGGGCCCCTTTTGTACACGCGAGA